CACACATGAATATGGAAACAGTTTTTTAAATAGAGCACTTTAAACTATTCTAATGATCCAAAAAAAAGCGCATATCCAGTTTATAATAAATCTTTGTAAAAATGTCAATGAAAATATGAGATAAATAGTACAGATTTAAATTGTCATAACTTAATATTGCAATAAAGGTGAATTACAATTACCTATTTTAAACGTGAAATAGACGTATTATCTAATAAATCTTGTTCATTTATTAGATAATGATTTCGTTTTGAAATAAATTTGTTATTTTTTTAAAAAAAAAAAAAATCACTTCTTTATTCTATAGTAATTTATCTGTGTAAAAAAATATAAATATAATGTTTAGATGATTATTAAGTAAGAAAATTAGAATAGAAATGTGAAAATTCATTTCAGAGTATTGAAATTTTACATCATGCGTTAAATGATTTGAGAATTCCCACTTGAAAAAATATATTTAATTTAAAGCGTAATAAACTTCATTACTCTATATTATTAAGAGTAATTGAGAGAACAGAGAGAGAGAGAGAGAAACCTAAAATGAGAGAGCTAAGGACACGTGAAATACACTTTGAATAAAACATTAAAAATGAAGATTAAATCTTCCTTTTAGAAGAGATTGAGCTCATACTTATGGAAATCGATTTAATACAAATGTGATAGTAACTAAATGAGAAGTACAGTTCAATTAAATTTTGCAAGGATAGTAAAATATTTTCAGAGGATCTTAATACTTACGATAACTGCTTAGTTATATTTTTGATTCGCTGAAATTTTGTAATTGTTTTAAACATAAATTAAATTGCATTTTAAAGTACAATAAAGAATATTTAATAGCACTTGAGAAGCATTATTAAATTATCGTTAATGATACATCGTTAAGCAATTCTAATTTTTGAAATTTAAAGCAGTTTTCTCTGGAGATGATGTTTATGATACATTGAGATTAACAATGGTTAAAGATAATTTCGATACTTTTATTGTGTTAGAAGTAAAAAAAAAAAAATGCTACCTATTTGTTAATTTTAAGTGCATTAAAAATTTATTTTGATGTCTCATTGAGTATTTCATATTTTATACAGGGTGATACAATGTTATAATTTTCGGCTGAAAATCTGATTGTAACAAGAAATAAACGATTTTCCAAAAATAAGCTCTCACTTATATATACTCACTTATATAGTTTGAAAAATATTCAGTTGAACCTGGTATAATTTTAAGAAGAAACATAGCTGAGGGGATAAAAACAGAAAATATGTTAGAAAATACTTTTTTAAGATTTCAAAGATAAGGAAAGTGCGAACTCATTATGAGATTAATTGTGAAAGGTAGAAACTGATGTATTAGAGAAGATTTTATGCTTCGAACCGATGGAGACCTGAAACGCAGTGTTTCTATTAAGAAAAAGAACCTTCAGTAAAAACTCAGTGAGAGAACAAAAATTCAAATCTCTAAATGACATTTTTCTGTAACTTTTACTTGAACCGCTGAATAGAAAAAAAAAAGCTAATATTCAGAATAATTTTAATGTACCATATCTCAGCGAGGTTGTAGCGTAATTTTGAAAAATCTTTTTGTTAATAGATACCTTATGTTGGATTTTAAGTTTTACAGTTCACGAAAAAAGACAATGAGCAAAATTTAGCTACTGATAGATAGATAGAATCTCTAAATAATAAAAAAATATATATGATATTCAAGTACATTTAGACGCGAGTTCCAAAAGAATATTTTGCTAAAGAAGACTCTAGAACGTTAAAAATATTTCTGCTTTATTTAACAATTAATTTAACAATTTAATATTTTATCATAAACTATATTTTTGATTGATGAAAAACATCCAAATTCTTAAGCAACCAAACTAAATAAAATAGGTTTTTTTAACACCACTCTAAATGATACACTTTATAATAACTAATACTTCCTTTTGTATGTTACAAAATATCAAATGTTTAAATCATAAAATATTTCTAATATTTACCGTAATAAGACCTTTTAATTCTTTTTATTTGTAAGAAAGTATAAAATTGAGGATTTTATATAGAGTTTACTTTAAGTAAGATAATAAGAATGGAATACACACACGTTTTGATGAATTGACAAGAGCTCTTTACGGCATAAATACTTATAGGAGTTTTTTTTAAAAATTAAATATATCAATAGAGTTTAAGAATGCAATTATTGTAAGAAAAATTTATATTATAATAGTTGCAACGAATATTCCTTATTCTATAAGCGTCATTTAGAGACTTTTATTATTTGAATGTACTGATGATGGAGAATTTCAGTTTTTTTCAAAAGTTGCTTCAGAATTGAAATGGTCTATATAATATCCGTCCTTATTGATCCACTTTGACCCAACGTTTAATAAGTTTACGCATTCTTTCCAAATAAAAGCTTTTGTGTTGATCGTGAAGTCCTTTTTGCATACCTAAGTCTAGATCCAATCGGCGACCTCGTGTAACGTCTTTAAGCGTCACAAACAAATGAAGAGCCGTATGAAAAATGTAGGGAGGAATTAGACTATGTTCAGTAGTGAGCTTTCTTGATACCCACCATCCGTAGATTTTATGAAAAACAAGTACACATCGTAGATTATTTGATGAGCAGAATCTTGGCTGATGTTATCAGCAGTTGCTATCACATCGACGATAATTCGCCTTTTCGCCAGAACCATCTCTCGATCTTGCTGAATGCTGTCATCTGTAGAAGAGGCTGATAGCTGTCCTGCAACCTCTTCATGTGTAACACTTGTTTGGATACATTTAAACTTCTCGATCCATTAAAATACAATTCTGCATGATAAGTCAGCTCCCGCATATTGAGACAATAGTCTACGATGAATTTTCTTAGCATTTGGGATGAGGGATTGGATCAGAGCTCATTGTTACTTTTTGGTGTAACGTTCAAATGGAGTTATAATCTATCTGCAAAAGAAGTAAGAAAAATGGGGAAATTTGGATCAAAATTTCGAATAATAACAGTATAACAATAAATTAACTGCATTTCATAAGATCAATAAAATAACCAATTTTCAGTTGAGAGCTGGACCCTTTTGGTTGTCATCCGTGAGGCTTTTACAAAACAATGGAACGTCTACGAGATACTCCGTGATACTCTGTAGTGTTGTTTAACCTTTCACGGACCCCTTATCTTACATTTTAGCAAGATAATACTCGGCCGCATACAGAACATATTTCTACTGTTGATCTTCTTGCTTCTTCAAAACTTATCTGGCAATCGCGAGATCTCTCCTCAGTAAATCATGTTTGCGCTCTGATGAGCAGACTTCTTCGACCATTCGGGTTAATCTAACGCACTAATTGGAATATGTATTTTAAGATATTCAGCATTAGAGCATCTGCCAAAAGTCCATATGTGGCCGAAAAATAGCTTCAATCAAAACCAGAGGTTGGCTGAGGCAATAATGATTTTTTTATTGGTCTTTTTTAGCTATATTTCCTAAGGAGAACATTTAACCTTTTTGATACTGTTAGTGTTTTACTTTCAATTCATGTACATCACATATGCTGATTTTCATTCTATTCTGATTACTCCTACTTGTGTGCTACTTTTCATGTTTATCTCTCTCTCTCTCTATATATATATATATACAGTATCAAAGACAGTTTAAAAGCATTTTATTTTAATTACCGGACTCCAAGTTTCTTTCTTAAGCTTTCTTTTCTAAAGGAAGACGTCTCGTGTTTGTGTGTGTTATCTCTTTTGTAAAATTAAAATTAATTGCTTGTGTGCCAAATTTCTTATTGTTTTTGAGATTACTTTAGACAAATGGCGTGCTTCTTACTGAATAGTATCGTATATATTATGAAGAAAACTAACCTCAACAGAATTTATGTATTTTTTAGCAATGATTATCATATTTTTCATTTTTTATTAATCTAAAATGTCACGAAAATATGCAGAATTCTTATTGTATGCAAAACTGATTAGTTTCATTCTCTTAGGTTTTTTCAATAATCTCTATGGGCTATAGAATAAGTTTCCTTCCTGGAGAAAACTTTTGAAGTATTATTTGGAAAGATATTCTAGAGGGTTTTGGTAATAAATAGGTATGTAATACCTTTCCAATTCTTAAAAAACTTGCGAAGTGGTTCTTGAAAAGAAATTGTATGAAAAAGAAATTCGAATTGAGTGGAAATTGCGTGGTAAGAGCAAATTGATTCAAAAAGTAGCAATTGCTATTCAAAAATAAAAGAAATGGAGTAGAAAATGCGATAAAAAGAAATCGAGGGATCTAGAAATGAAAGAAATGCTCAGAAAAGTGTCTCTTAGGGGAAATACATTTGATGTAAGTTTTGGTAACTCAAAAAAGTATCTAATTCATAGAAAAAATAACCCTTTTAAAGTAACACCTTTATTGTTTACATTTTTTTTAAAAATAAAATAATATATCACGTTAAAATAAATAAAGGTTCTTCCAAAAAAAAGATTCACATTTTGAATATTTTTTTAAAAATGTACACTAATTATACATGTGAAAGTTATTTGAAAGGATAAAAACGACAGGAAGATATATTTTGTTATTTAGATAAAGAATGTTTTTCTAATCCTAATGAATGTAGCTGTAAATATATATAAACAAAAAAACTAATACTATTTACGTAACAAGTACTATTCATAATAAACATTACTCTTTAGTAAATTTATTTTGCAGGAAGCTGCATCATTTACAAAACAGAGCTCGTGATTTTTTTTTAAAGAAATGTGACTCTGATTTGTCAATTCCTAATATTACTTCACTCCCTCTCTTTCTCTCTCTAGGCATATATTTTGTTCAAATTTTCAATCGTTAGTAAAATACTTTCTCCATTCAAGTTCAAATACATTTATTTAAACTTGTAGTGGATGACAATCGATGTTAATAAATTTTTTTCACATATTAATTCATTAATTAATTTAAAAAATGAAAAAAATTGATAGTAACAAACAAACATATTAGTCCAACAGCATATATAGAAAGGAAAATCGTGTGCTGTATCCCTGTAGTGCAATGGGTAGCGCGTTGGACTTCTAATCCAAAGGTCGTAGGTTTACCTAGGATGGCCTAATTTTTAAGAATGTGATTTATTTTTTGCTATACACTATTTTATTAGAATAATTAAATTTAATTAATGAATAAATAATAGCAAAACAAAAAGAAATAGTACAATACCATATATAGAAAGGAAAATGGAACGTTTCAAGGAAAATCGCTTTCTATTTTGTTACTTAATATTATTGATTCTGTCATAAGTATATGCATTCTTGTATTAATCGTAACTTTTTAATAAAAAATAACTAAAATAAAAGTTTTTCTTGATGACATAAGTAGGAATTGACTTACAAATATTTTTTGTATTACTTGTTATTATGTAACTTACGAACCATGCAAAATATTGAGTTATGAGTCACAGAAAATAAAGCAGCTTAACCCTTTATATAGTGCAATTATTTATTTATTATTATTTATTTTTTATCAAAGCAAATACATCAGAAAATATAATTTAACGAACTTCTTTAAAAATAAAGATAAATGCCATAAATGCCGTTAATAATAATGTATGGGAGTCATCTATAAACATTAAGGTTTGAATTTATTTTTCAAAAAATCTATGGGTACTTTCTAAAAGTTTTGGGGCCGCTGTAGCTGAATTCGACACTTAGGGAGCCACAGTTACGAACTCGTGGTTGCTGATGTTTCTGCCGATTGAATGATTGAATATTAAGTCACACTGTGTTCAGCTACACGAGGGCTTTTGGCGACGGACCACGTAATTTTGAACCATGGTTAAGTGACGTTGACGACACCTGAGCTGGCACCCCCCTCCTAACGATCACCACACAACGGGAGGATGTTTCAGCTCTCGACAGATTTAACGTGCATCGCTGCCCTACACGGCGGGTCTTTAGTGGTACCGGGCTCCAACTCGTGACAAGGCAAGCCATGATTCGATACCTATAATACTCGGCTACTGCGGCCACGCTGTTTCTGCCGAGTACTGGTGACACTGAGGACACCCGTTTAGAAGAGTTGATGCACGTTAAATCTGTCAAGGCTCAAAGTCCTCAAATTCAGCGTGGTGTGGAAGTTTGTAGAGTTGGATACCAGTTCAGGAATCGAGCTTATCACTTAACTGTGATCGAAAAATACGACATCCATTGCCAGTAGCTCGCTTGTAGCTTCAAAGTGTTCCGTTGATAAACAATCAATCTTGGGAACTTTCATATGCATTTTTGAAATTCAGTCGAAATTATGAGAGTAATATATTTGACTAGTTTTTTTTAGAAGTTTAGGGCTTTAACTGAAATATATATATATATATATATAGTTGTTCTTAAATGAAAATAAAATTGTAGCTGTAGATGATCTTCTAAAAATTTTTTAGATGAAAGGAATCACAGATTACATTAATTTAGAAATTTCAAATTATTATAAATTATGTTTACATGCAGGTAAAATAAAGTTGCTATTATAATTGTTGCGCATCAGAGAAAAATTGTACTTATCTTTTTTATTATTGTATATAATCTACTCACTCTGCCCTATTAGAATCTACCTACAGAATGTTGTAACTTAAGTGTATCCGTATGCATTTAAAATCAAATTCACACATACATAAAAATAAGTAAAAAACAAACATCTCTACAAAAACATTCAAATGTAGTTATTTCAATTTTTTGTTTACCTTTTATGACTTGAATATTTTTTATTTAAAACATTTTTCCTTACAGTATTAAATTTCCCATCTGAAATTTTTTATAAATGGTAAGTATTTAATTTAAAAAGCCCATTGCAGTTTTTCTTTCTGAAGTTCCACGTAAACAACATTAATTATATACCAAAAAAAAAGCAGGGATTCGAAATAATAATTTATTGATTTTCATGGAATTTTTTTTCAGAAAGATATTGTAGAGCTAATGGAATTATTGTTCAGTGAATGGTCCAGTTTCAAATTAAATTAATTTTATTTTATGATATAGTATAAATCAATATGTACTTATTTAAATTGAAAATAATTCAGTTGCCCCCAAGCGATTAAATTAGAGGATTGTGTTAAATGAATATCTGAAGGTTCTTAAATTTAGACACATAATTATACTTTGTATGAGTAAAAAAAAATTACAAATCCTCTTCGTATCAGAAGAAATTTTTGATCTTTTTCAAAAAAATTACAAATCCTCTTCGTATCAGAAGAAATTTTTGATCTTTTTCAAAAAAAAAAATTAGGACTTATTTTATTTAAACTTTCGCTTGCGAAATTTCTACGTAAAAATTATAGGCTCACAACAGAATAGAAAGAATTAGAAGGATATATACACACACCCTCTTCCATGATATAACTTTCAAATATTTTAGAAATTTTGTATTCTAATCTAAAACCCCTAAGATTACCAATAATATTAAATGTTTTTGATAATATTTTTTAAAATTTTAAAATCATTCATATTATCAACTGCATCTAAATTAGTACTATATATGTTTAGGAATCATTATATATAGAAATTGCAAATGACTATTAGTATCTCTCTAACGCATTTATATAAATACTAAAAATAAATTTAAAAAAAAAATATCCCCAAATAAAGGAAATGCCAAAAGTTGATTGATTGACTTGAATTAATGTATCCCTACAGTTGCATGAAATTTAATAGTGTCAGAACTCACAATTTCTAGCCACAATCAGATGACAAGTATGGCAATTGAGTCCTCACCTCAATTTCCACACCACGTTACGGGAGGGTTTTGAAGTCAAGTTGAACTTAACGCAAATAAGATGTTCTATTATATTACAAAAATGTTATTATTGGTACCAATTCTCACACACACACACAAACCTTTGACTAGACATAACTAGGAAATGTTATGAAGGAAAGTACATTAATGGTTTGGATTTGGAATTCGATTAAATAAACCTTTAAATTTTGAAATCAAAATTAGACTTTAATTTATTGCAAATAAATTAAAATCTTTGCTTTATTTACATATAAATACATATGAATATGTCTCCTTTCGAGAATACAAGACATTCTTTCATTTTCTTTAATTTATTACTGAATTGTTTCCTTTGCACTTTTGAAATCATTTAATATTTTATATCTATTCAAGATCACTTATTTTATTCCCTACAAATCTTTCTACTGTTTTCAGTACTCCCTATTCTAAAACGTATTGATTTTATTTGATAAATTTTATTTTATAATTGCTTTTTGAAATTTTTGATTTTGAAACGAAAATTTCACCTAATTATGGAAAGCAAATCTCAGATTTAAATAATTTCTTCTGCAGCAATGATAAGGGAAGGAGCACTGATTTGGAGAACTTTCAGAGAGAGGTACAAAGTTATTTAACCCTTATCCCTAGATACACTGTTTTACCCTCTATCCCTAAATATAGAATTTTACTTTTTACTCTCAATAATGCTTTATCTCAGTTAGTTAAAATTTCAGTTCCAATGAAAATGTGATTTGTAAAATTATCTAAACAAAAGTTTTCACATATAGGTTTCCTCAATTATAGCTTAGTGAAAATATGCATTTGATTTTAAGGCTCTTGTGCTCGAAAATTGCATAACTGAAAGCATAAATTATAACAGTAGTTTTTAAATTCTTTCGAAATCGTACCGTTGAAAAAGAAGAAAACTGATAACTATCAATAATTATAAATTAATGTAAGCTGTAAATCAGCGAAAAAATGTTGAATTTGTTCATATACATTTTAAATTTTGTATACGAAAGTATCTTATATGTTGTACCACATGTACTATCACTAAGTATATAATAAAAGTATTCTTAAGTAAAAATACTGCAACAATTTATTTTTCTAAAGCTTCATTGGACGGAAAGAATAGGATAAAAATTCTGTAGAAACTACCGACTATACAAGGTCTAAGACTAGAGAAGTTTTCCTATGAGGCAACATTGGAGCATAATATTGGAAAAGTGCTTTCTTTGAATTTTTAAAGCTTCTTCCATATAGTATTGCAATGCAAAGGATTTCTTTTTAGAGTGGCAAAGTTGTCCTCCTTATTCTCAATCATCGCATCTCCGTACAAGTGTGTCCTTAGAGAACAAAACAGAGATAGAATCTGTATACTTTAGAGAGAAGGATCTACGGAAGGTACTAACGGTAAAAAAGACGTTAGCTTCCGGATTCAGTTTGAGACAAAAACTGAGCAGTTTATTTCAAAGCAATTATGAAAATGCATGGAGGGCATTGTTCAGTTTTAAAAATTCCAAACCATGCAGTAAAATATTTATAAAAATAATTTCAAAACACCATTTTTTACATTGATATTGGGTATTTAATAAAGTACTTTGAAAAACTTAAAATTGTTACTCAAGAAAAAAAATCATAAGCTTAGGAATTTTTTTAGCCATAGCAAAGTGATATTAAGCAGTATTTTTGGGAATTTCTGTTGATTTTATAGTTTTTTATTGGTAAAATAAGATATAATTTATGCTATAAATATTAAATTTCTGAGTATAATTAAGATTTTTTACTGAGAGAGATATAGGGGAGATAGTTATAAAGTTTGGCTACTCAGAATTGATCATTAAGTCAATTCATTTTGGTTTAAAATTCTTCACAAGGAGTTTTGAGGAAATTAAAGTAATGAGGTACCAGGTATATTATATCCTTCTCGTCCTTTTGTGAAATTTGATCTTGCTTATATAAGTGAGCTTTTGAATAGTTCATTGCTATTCAAAATTTCCAATACAAAATAAGAGCCAAAACAAATATTTCTTTTATTGAAATAAATGATTTCACAGAATCTCAACTTGATAAGAAAGTTATTCTTTAACTTTGGAAATTAACGGAATACTGTGTAACAAAATTTAAAATGCATAATCGAAAATTCATGAAATTAAATATTGTTGTATACCTAAATGAACATACTGTACGTTAAGTCCTATGAAGCTAAAATAGTAGTTAATGGTTATTCTCCTTTTTTCCTTTCTTTTTCTCCTTAATTCACATCAATAACTACTGTTTATTGCATTAATAAAGACATTACAAATTAAACTAGGAAAGGGAACTCGTTTCGTAAATCACTTCTAAAGC